CTCACGCAACCCCCGTGGCCTCCCCCCAGCCATTCAGCGCATTGTGCGTCAGAAGCAGGAAGAAATCTGCATGTCTGGCCAATTCCAGCCTGTGCTTCAGTCAGGTACTTTGGGCTAATTACCAAACTCACTGAAATGGCTTCACTGGCAGCTTGTAGAGTAGGTGATCGCATTGGCTGTAAATGCGACAGAACCATAGCAAACTAAGTTGTCCTCTTTTAGCAACTTTTTTTTAATGTTATATCTAATAAGAAAATAGCTGCAAAGGGAAGTCCATGCAAGGGAGAGAGCCTGTTACAGGGTGGTTCCACAGCCTTAAGTTTGCCCTTATAGGAATCCTGTGTGCTGAAACTGACACACTACCAAAGGAAGATCAGCTTTGTTACTCGAATAGATAGGATAGGGACGGGTTAACAACCTGGTGTTTCTGCACTTGGAAATGCTTGTCTTGGCCACCTGGGTAACAGCATCTTACCTTAGGTCTGTGCAATGTCCTCCAGGAAAGGAGGAGAAACTGCCTCCAGGAAGGAGCACCCTCACTCTTCTTAGCTCCACCATGATTTATGTCCTGGGCGGTCTGAGTAGCAGAGACAAGGGGCTCTGAGCAGCGGTTCTGACTGTGTCTGCTGGCAGTGGGAGTCAGTAGTTGTGCCACATACATGCGAACAGGGCATGTCTAAAGCCCATTTTGAGAGAACTTTTTTTATGGAGGCATGGGAGCTGATCTTCTAGCTCATAAGCTGTCCATGAGATAAGCAGATAATTTTTTAGGGCTATGCTGGAGGCAGAAATTCCTCTTTGTTGGCAGCTGAGTGCCCACACCCTTCACACGCACACTGCCCTGCCTGGAGATTGGCCCTTTACTAAGCCAGGCCTAAGGACCTGGACTGGGAGATTGCCACAGTAACACACATACTCTGTACTGCTGGACAAGAAATAGCAGCTAAAACCTTCTGAATGGCACATCGTTGTGTGAGCCAGTCCTCCACTGCAGAGCAGGCGCTGGCATCATCCAAGGTTATGGGACTGGTATGGGCACCCCCTGCCCCACGCCCCTCCGTATTGCTTACTGTAGCAGAGGGAGCGTAATTGGTTTGTGGGCTCGTGCCTAGGTGCTCACGTATGCTGAAAATTCATGGCTAGCTGGGACTAGCAAAGGCTGTGCAAGTGCTGTGCCAACAGACACAGAGCAATGCAAACAACAATTTTTGCACTCCCCCATCCTAATCTTGTACTGTGATTCAGAAGTACCCTAGGAAGGTTGTAGCTACAGCTTCACTGGAGACTAAAAGGCCGTTAAAGCACTTTGAAAATTTACTTACAAGGACTAAAGTTTACTTTTCTTTCTTTCTTTCTTTCTTTCTTTCTTTCTTTCTTTCTTTCTTTCTTTCTTTCTTTCTTTCTTTCTTTCTTTCTTTCTTTCTTTCTTTCTTTCTTTCTTTCTTTCTTTCTTTCTTTCTTTCTTTCTTTCTTTCTTTCTTTCTTTCTTTCTTTCTTTCTTTCTTTCTTTCTTTCTTTCTTTCTTTCTTTCTTTCTTTCTTTCTTTCTTTCTTTCTTTCTTTCTTTCTTTCTTTCTTTCTTTCTTTCTTTCTTTCTTTCTTTCTTTCTTTCTTTCTTTCTTTCTTTCTTTCTTTCTTTCTTTCTTTCTTTCTTTCTTTCTTTCTTTCTTTCTTTCTTTCTTTCTTTCTTTCTTTCTTTCTTTCTTTCTTTCTTTCTTTCTTTCTTTCTTTCTTTCTTTCTTTCTTTCTTTCTTTCTTTCTTTCTTTCTTTCTTTCTTTCTTTCTTTCTTTCTTTCTTTCTTTCTTTCTTTCTTTCTTTCTTTCTTTCTTTCTTTCTTTCTTTCTTTCTTTCTTTCTTTCTTTCTTTCTTTCTTTCTTTCTTTCTTTCTTTCTTTCTTTCTTTCTTTCTTTCTTTCTTTTCTTTCTTTCTTTCCAGGGGCCTGCTAAAAGTACACTTCTGATCCTATCCTTAAGCACAGAAACCAGATCTCTTGGTCTTGGAAGTTGCCACTCAGCTAATAAAAAAAGAAAATCACAGTATGGACTAATGTGTTTTTCCTGGAACACACATGAAAATGTTGGGGTTTTTGTAAACTGTGTGCAATACAGTATTGATATTTCAATTTTCAAGGGAATACCTAATGTGGCATTTGTCAATAAATTTTTAAAAAAAAAACACTTCTGGAACTGCTTTTTGTTACCTGCTGTCCTGCCGGGGAGCAGGAAGAGCAGGGCTGCTCACTGAGGGGAGGTGAGACGGCATCCAAGGGTGGCCCCAGTACAGGCAGGGCAGTGTCCCTCCCTGGCACCAAGCAGGGGGAGCAGGGCAGGGGTGGTAACAGGGACAGGTCTCCTGACAGTGCTGATCGTCAGACAAATACATGCTGATAAGGCAGGTCTGGGGTTCACCTGGGAAGTCCAGCCAGCGAGCGAGGGCAGCAAGGCACAAGGCAGGGCACAGGCATGCCTGTGAGGTGGCTCCAGCCAGAAACAGGACTGGAGAGCGGGTCAGAGGCAGAGCTACTTGCAGCAAGGCTCCCAAGGGGGCAGGGGCCTAGGCTGAGCTGAAGAGGGTTTGTGGACCATGGGCAAGGGATATGCAGGTGGAGGTCCCAGGTGAGGCTGTGCACAGCAATGAAGGCTTGTGGGTGCCTGCAGGGCCCTGGCATACACAACGTACCTCTCCCACCAACATTTCTATTTAAATTCTGAAGCTAAGAAATCCTCTTGAACAACAACTCTGAGATGAGGCTCATAGTGTGATCCTTGCTGCCTAGTAATATCTTATGGTTATTTCTGGTACATCTGAATACTCAAAAGTCTGCACAGAGTATTTCTAACTAGCCCCTGAATCACAGATGCAATAAAGCAGATGTTCCTTTCAATAACACTGGGACATTGCTTTAAATAAGCAGTTACTTGCACTTCTAATGGCATAAGCAGTAATTTACTTCCCACTGCCTTCATAATCCAGCCTCCAGTATCTGAGAGGTATAGAACTGAAAGATACAGAACCGACAGGTTTTATGGCCAAGAATTTCATAGATAGAGGGAATCAAAAGAATAGTATCTAGACAACTCCATGTGGAGAAAGGGTAACCTCAGTCAGCATTTTTGACATATATTTCCCACTGCTCTTAGTAAAATCACATTCACTTTGAATGTTTCCTATGAATAAAACTACCAGTCCAGAACACCCCCAGCACCCTGCTGAACCCTGCAGTTTGTCAGCAACACAAATTTTTACAAGTCATGATTACCAAGCATAGAGGGAAGACCAAGCTGAACAGCCCCCGCTCCTGAGGCTTTCAAAAGGTATGTGGCACAAGGTTGATACTGAGTGAAGACCTTCAGAGCACTACACTATAAAACAGCTTCTGCAAGATGCTTGCACAATCTTATCTACAGTATCCAGTGATTATCTATCATCTACTGCATCTGTTGGAAGGAGCATAAAAACCACTGACTAAAGACTCTTCTCCAAGGCCAGAGACATTATCCCAGGGATGCAGGGAAGTCTCTCAAGCTTGCATTTCTCAGGATTTCCAGGCGGGACTCCTAAGGCTCTCAGTCAGCACTGAATAAAGGTGTTCATTGCTCTTCTGGTCTAGGGAAAGCTACCCTGATGGGGAAGAAGATGGTGAACTACCATCTAAAGCTAAGGACAGAAACAGAAGAGCAGCACCAGGCAATGCAAACAAAAACGCACATAGATAGAGACTATTGAGTGTTGAAAAAATATCAGCCTTTTGTGCTGGACTAAGTGCAAGGTCAGTGCATTGATTGAATGTTCACCGATTGCCCCCCTCTCCCATGAGGAAGTATTGGGGTGGAGATCTGTGAACTTAGGACTTGTATCACAAGTGATTAGACAACACTAACCCTTAGCTGAAGGAGCCTGGCCTTTGACCAGGACATTCAGACCAATACTACCAGTCCAAAAGAAGTGGGATTTTTAATGTCTACTGTTATAGTAACTGTATGACCAGAGCAGATGGGAGTTCTACCAAGAAGGATCTAATGCAGGACCAAGTGCATCCTTATTGTGCTTGGTATAGTCTGTCCAGAGGAGCTAGGCAGTGAAATCCCTCCTCAGCCACAGAAGGTCGTGCCTCCAGGTTCATAGGAGGATAGTGGTGATGCTGGGAGAATACACCATGGAGTTACACATGCCCCAGGAATCTGCCTTGTTCTTGGAGGAACTCAGGGAACACGTTCCCAGCAGGACCACATGCAGGCCCTTATTGTGATCTGGTGAGTAAATAAACAGATGGGAGTTAGCTCATATCCATTTCTCTCCACTGACTGAAGGAAATGTGAAAGACGAGGTAGGGTAGGGCAGGCAGCTATGAGTGTATTCTGACCTGATTTACACTCCTCTTGTTATTCCATTGAGTTCAACATAAAACATCTAGGGTATGTCTAGAGGCAGACACACTTCTGTCTGCTGTTTGAGCTGGCTGATGAGAACCAGTCTATTATTCCTGGTTTTAAGTGCATGTATAGGTCCCAAGTCATAATTTCTGTCCTGCACAAACTTTCCACTAACAAGAGAAAAGAAAAAGCTGTTTACGAATGAAAAGGACTGTTATTTTGTCCTCAGAAGGTCCTTTAGTGCTGGCAGAAAGGCTACGACTGTGCAACAGCAGGAGGAACCCTGCAAGGATATTGTCCTTCACATGCCAGTGAACCTCCTCCCAGCAAGGACACTGCAAGTCCTGAGATCTGACACTACGATATTATGTTAAGTTAGACCAGTTTTCCCTGGGCTGTGGTAAATGAGGCAATCTATGCATTTAAGTTCCTACTTCAGCCTTAGAATTTCTTACGGTCACACTCCCTTCACACTTCATTTTTATGTAATGTTGGAACTTGCACCAATCAAGCTATCTTTTATACCTTGAGAACAGGCTTTACTTCCCAAGATTAAGTTGTTGATACAAGAGTTTTGAGGACTTTCTAGAACGTGATGATCAGATCCTATTTTACCGGGTTCATGTGAAAGATTAAAACCTGGTCTTATTGGGTAGCACAAAAGATGGTAACAAGTGCACTATATACACAATTAGACAATATAAAACACTCCTTTGAAAGGTTTTTCCCTAGCATTCATTTTAACAAACAGTTGCAAAACTGTTACATAGCCTCAGAAGCTTTTGCTTGAAGAGCAGGGAAACAATCTCATCTTGCAGTTGCAGTTAGATTTTCCTATCTGGCTATATGGCCAGGAAGAGACATACCTGATTGCTCTGCAGTCTTGCTTTGGTTCCGAAGCTACAGAACTACTAAGCACCTGCTACTCCCACTTAGCGCTCTGCACATCTGGCACTTCTGAAAACTGAAACTGTGAGGTGGGCTGATCACTGCCCAGTAACGGAGGAGATGGTAGAGTTAAACATCCAATTTTGGAAGCCCTATCAGACAGAGTCAGTGACAGATGGTTACAGAAAACTCAAGTTTCAAGTATTAAATAGCATTTTTCTGTAGACATTGAATTATAAAAAAGACAAGGGCAGCCTAAAACTTCTATACTTTGTCAGAAACAAATTCAAGCCTGGAAATAACAAATTCTCTTCTCTGCTGCAATAGTTTACACTTGCTCATTGCTTAAAAGAATAATTTTATACCAAAGCAGCAAAGAAGAAGAAGAAAAAAAAATCTTGCTGAATATTCAAAACTTGTTTCGGAACAGAGTGCACCATTTTTGGTCAGCTCTGCTTTCCATGTGTATTTGCCACTGCCAGGAAAATACCTGAAAAAGCACTGTGCCTCCCACACTTTGGATGATGTTTAAGGTAAAAGCCCTAAAAGAGGGACCTATTGACAGATTTTCAAAGTGGCTGGATTTGACCCTAAGAAACTGGATTTTATTTGCATCTACAACATGTTAAGCTCTACCCTTGGAAATAAAATCTCTGCTTTTTTGTGGCTTCAATAAACAATACAGTAATGTATGAAATTTTACCTTGAAACTTTAGCGAAAACAGCACTCTTAATTTGCTTTTTAACAGGACAAAAAAAGCAAGCATGAGAATTACAAACCACTTCAAAGAGGCAGCTGCAAGCCTCATGTCTGTCACTGCTGAGAAGCAGAAATCCTGGGCCAGCAGAACTCCCAGCCTAAAATCTTCTAAAAGATGGTAACTTGCCATAAAGGAAATCACTTGCCATAGGGACAGACTTCAATACCGTGAAAGAGTAAGTGAATCGCCATTCTCTGTTCTGCACCTTTGCAAAAGCCAAACATTCCACCACGACTCACCACTGCCTGCTGGGCAGTGATTTCTGATTTTTTATTTTTTCATGATTTGCACACCTACACATTTTCTACTACATCCCTGCATAGCAAAATCAATACTCTTCATGACAGCTATGCTCCATTTTTTTTCAAACACCTGTAACTAGTGCATGGTCCTTGGTTTCATAAAGACTGCTATATTCTGATTGCCAGTGTGGGAAAATTTTAAAGCCGAATGCTACTCAAATAGGCCATCCTAAAAGGGTAAACTGTCCTCTCAAGTTCCTGTATCTTCCCCTGCTTCAGATGCACTGAAATCTCTGAAGGACCTATACTTGAATATTTCTAAAAGTAATTTTTATTGTGGCTCCATTTCATACTGGCAAAACACTATGTCTTAACTGCTAGATTTTATTTAACTGTGTATTCTGATTCTTCACTTAGGGACAGTTATAACAACTTTGAAATGTATTTTTACTATCTATCTCCATCCAAGTAGAACTTCTCACTAACTTTTCTGAAACTGAGAAAGTCATCAATTAAGTAGGCTCCAATGGCCCTTTTCGGTTCTGCACAAGCCTTTATGGGAGAGGAATTGGCAAATTAGGATGTGACAAGCACTCCTTATTCAAACTTCAGTGAGGCAAGAAATATTTCATCTGAATTCTGTGACAAAATGAATCTTTTAAGGCTAACTTGCAGCATAAGTACATGAACAAGTAACCAGAAGGTAAGGAGATACAAGGGCCCATCTCATATATACTGACCTTTTGTATATGTTTCTTTTCTGTGCTGTAAAAGTGAGGCCATTTGAGGTAGTTCAGCTCGCTCCTACTGCGTAAACTTGTTTTTTTTGTCTGAGACCTGAATGTTTCATCAAATACGTAGTCTTTGTTGTTATGTTGGTGAGGTGGCTGATGTCAGCAAAGAGAGCAGTAGGGGATTTGTTTGTGCGACAAAGTTGCTCCTCTTACGGAAAACACGCCAGCTGTTTTCACTGGCATTATCCCTCCCTCTACAAGCACTTTAAAGGCACAGTTCAAACTGTGTCAGTTGTGAAAAGGGGAGAGTAAAAAAACACCCCTGCAATTTCAGGGAACTTTGCTGTTACATAAAGTGTTTGGCAGCCACAAGGACAGCCAGAGGTGTTCTGTAGCCCATGATCTGGGGCTATCACACACTTGTGCACACGCTTTGCAAAGCACAGAAGCTCAAACTGTTCTTGGTTAATTTCCTAACTGGTTGTCAGTAGTAGCCCTGTTACATTCAAGAGTGTGCTCTCCTGTAATATGAAAACACAAAAGGCTCTAACTAGCATTTCAGCTTTCTCCTGGCCACTCAAAGCCAAGCCTCAGGTCACTTACAGTCTGAGAGGGGAGGCATGCTGGGGAGAGATGTTAGCTGTAAGGGCTGTAGAAGGCCCGGCTAGGTGACAGCAACGGAGAGAAAGAGGGGCTTTCAGGGTTAGAGCCTCTACCACAAAGAGGCAGCGGTTGATGGCCACAGTGCAAACAGGTGACTTGGGCAAAAGCAGAAAGCAGAAAAGGCAGAAAGTCTGGAGGCTAGAGCTTCCTGCGCCTTCTTCCCCTTTGAGGATGAGCTGCTACCCCTTCCTCTGCCTGTGTGAAGGGAATAGCTCTGGCATCCAAATAACAGCCACAAATGCAGAGAGAGTTGGGTGGAAACCCCTCTGTGAGAGGGTGGAGAACCTCATACATCTGAAGACATGGCAAGTGCTCTGAAATAACCCACTGGAGCATGTGTGACTAACCAGCGGGGAAGCAGGTTAGTCTTCACGACTTCATAACCTTCACTTCATGCTCTGGACACATCTGGTTGCTGTGGGCTTTTCCATCAAACCATTATGGCAGCTGAGGCAGGCAGTTCACTCTCAGACAGGTCCTCCTTGTGCCTTTGCCACCATCCTCACTCATACAGTGAAGTGATGGTTCTGTTTCTGCTGCAGTTTGTGACCTCTATAAATCTTTAGTTGTCCTGGCCATTGGCTCAGTGTAAAATAGGGAACAATAAATACTTATACCCATAATTCCTAGTTACCAAGCTGAATCCCCGTCCTGCGGCAGCCTCTTACAATTGTACCTGTTGGGTTGTCAGTTGCGGCTGTTTGATAACACTGTCTTTTGAGCTCTGAAGAGTTAATAGGGGCAGTTGCTTCTAACTTGCATTCCTAACTTGCTTCATCAGGACCTTTCGATACTCCCTCCTCAGCTTGGGAGGAGTTTATTTTTCTGGGGAGTTGTCATTTGCAGGGAGCATACACCACTCAGTCACCAAGCCAGGCACCACTCTTCAGAGTCACTTGAAAGCTTCAACGTACTCCACAGGAAGAGAGGACAGGCCTGCCTTGCCCCAGTAGTCAATGGCACGCACTCTGTAAAAGCCGGAGACTGAGCTTCCTGCAAATGAAAAGGTTAGAAATGGTCACTGTGAAAGGCTGACGCCTGTGGTGCTTGGAGGATGTGGAGCAGGCACTACTCCTATAAAATGTAGGTTTGTGGAACGGGTTGGGGAAGTGCTGAAATCAGTTCTGCACCCTATGTAAGTGTGCCTGTGCCTGCCTAACTAAAAATGATTATAAATTCCTCATGGCCAAGTACTGGCTCTTTTTCTCTGTTGCACCAAGAACCTCCTCTCTCCTCATTAGGATTTGCAAGTACAGAAGAAGGCTACCTTATCTTCTGCAACCCACAACAAGTAATTTCATTTTTTCTGACTTACTTTTCTGCCTGAATTGTGCCTTTGGTACAGGTTATGTGGGGACAGGATCAACAAAGAAGCAGAACAAGAAGCATGCAGGCTGACTGAAAACCCTCTGCTCAACTCAGGAAGCAGCACCACTTGCTCCAAAGGTATGTGAATTGATGTTCTGTGGCTCTGCTGGTTTTCATCCTTGATCCAGTTCGAAGAACACAGCTTTCACTAGCAGACTCTTTAACCTCACAAGCAATATAAATGTTTTTTCTCATCTATTTACTTGATTTTTATGTGTGCTTTAGTATTTAAATTTTTTTCTAAAAGAAAAAGAATGCTAGAAATAATGAGTGAGAAGGAACTACCTAGCAATAAAGGCTGCTGCGATTTGAGATTTTTTCAAGCAGTCTTTTCTTTTTTATTTTTGAAACAAACAATTAAATCTGGTAGGTTCTCCAGATGTGCAGCAGTAGATGATAATGAATCCTAATTTCAGAGATTTGCCTTAGCCATGATTCACAGTCTTTGCTTACCTGTGTAGCCTTTACATTGCAAAGCTCTGAACTTTATTATGCACCCACTGCTGATGCTTAACCTTTCTCAGGCTAAGATGAGTTTGTGTTTCTGGAAAAAACCTCTCTGAATTTCTCTTTATTAGTATCACTTTGAGGCAAGGTCTGTCTGTGTTTCACACAGCTCTGATCAGTGCTTATTAGTAATACTTGTTGGACAGTCAAATTGTGGATTAGACCACATCTGGTTAAAAAAGCCCAAAAACCAACAAAAAAATACCCAAAGAAAACATCACTACCTTCTTTCAGCGTTTTTCATCTGGGTAGGCTTCTATTGCATCTAGGCTGTACTTGAGCAGAAATGACCACAGGCTCTGGGAGAAGCTTTGCCTGTTGACAAAGATTAAACTCGCTGCCCACTAATGTGAAACATCTAAAACTTAGGCAGCTAGTCAGGGCTAAAGAGAAGGCTCTAGGAAACAGCAAAGAGAGGGGTGTCTCCTTGGCTAGGTGTTCAGATAGCCAGTACAAACTGTCCTACAGGAGGACCTCTTCTGTTCTTACAAGGAAGCACCTCAATAGCTTAAGATTGCCAAGCCATAAAAGGGTATGGGAACAGGGACAGGTGACCACGACGAGAGCAGAATTGTGACGTTCCCCTGGAGCAGTTCAGAACATGATAGATGCAAGACAACCAACCCCTCCATGAAGGGTGGACATGACCTCCCACTTACTTGTGTGTTGATGCCATATCCTTAGGCAGTCTAAAACCTCAAGACTCAGTGGTATAAAAGAAGTGTAACCAAGGCAGTTTGCTCCTACTGCCCTACCCCAAGAGCATTGTACAAATTTAGGCAAAGGCATGGCCAATACCTGTGGGACTGAGCCCAAACCTCAGACTTGCCTTGCTGTGAGTCTACTACCAAGAGCACAACACCAAGCTCTGGTCACGTGGAACAATTTTTGTTCTCATTTTTGCATGCTTCTACACCAGCTACAAACAGAGACAAAAGTGCTGCTTTGCGTCTCAGGGAGCTTGCCAGGCCCACAGCTGGGTGACTTTGGTTTCTGTGACATGGAATTTACTCATGGCAGTACTCCTAATAATGTCCTCATGACTATTTGTCAATTAGTGCATTCCTAATTGAGAATAAGGCTTTCACTGAGAACGTGGTCCTAAAGGAAGGGACATGCTCTTATTTGTGATGGGAGTGTATGTCACTAGCAAGCTACGTACCTTCAGTAGTTACTGAATGATGTTTCACACACTCATGAGTGGCACTACTAACATGACAGATTACATAACACACGTATTCTTGCCTTACCTGGACTGTAGACCCAGAGAGTGAATATTGTGTCTTTGGCATTAACCCGCTGGTATGCTTTTCCATCTGGTGAGAACTCGACTTCAAATGTCTTTATACATCTAGAAAAGAAAATCAGACAGCTCAGTAAATACAACTGATAATGTGGTGAGGAACCAAATCCTAATCTCAGGGCCGTTTCAACAAAGGCGGCCAAAAATAGGAAATACTCAGTTGACTCATTCCTGCCAAACGTGGGATGGCATGAATTGTCAGTATTAGGAAGAACCACGGCTCCGACAGCCCACAGAAGAACACCCAGGCTGACTTGCTATATTGGGTACTTGCAGCACCACAAACTGTTAAGCATCTTTTACTCCCAAACCAGGGTTATCAAGGCTGAAGAGTCTAGGGAGACTGGCTTGAAAAGGAGCTAAGTCAGTGCTTCCTGAGGGAGTCCGGATGTACACTGGATTGCCTCTGACAGTTCACTTACAGAGGGTTTCCATTCTATTGCAGCTTGCTGGAGCAAGGAACTGGAGGTTTTCTCTTCCAGCTCGCATCCCTTACAGGGATGTGCAAGATCCCACCTAGGCACCTGCTGCTAATATAACTTTTATCATGGATCTTCCTGTCTGCTATGCTGAAGGCAAGTCCCTCAAAAATGCCATTGGATGCTGGTAAGCAACAGGCAGATTCCCTTGCTCAGATCGCAAATTAGTCAGGGTTGCTCTCCATAGTTACTGCATGTAGGTCCTACAGTTCATTTTGTCAGACAAATGCACTGTAGCATCTCTCAAGGAGCAAATAGTCATTAATTTGTGAACTCGTTTCACTTTGTAGGACTTATGGCAACCTAGAGAGTAATGTGCTGGTAACTCGATTATATCAATTTTATTTTAAAAGCTACTTACTTTGAATTTACACAGCCATCGTCCCACAACACAATGACCTGCCCCTTTGTGAGAGGGATCAAACGAACAGCAGTCACCTGTGCAAAGACACATGCCCATGTAAGAAAACTGTACAAACCAATCAGCCAGGTCAGATTCCTGTGTTCATCCTTCCTTACTAATTATTTCCTTTGATTCTTTCCACTGAGACAGGGGGAAAAAACAAAATTCCTGGCTCTGTGGCTTTGTAGCCTGTCTCCAACCTGTCAACCTTGCAGAGGACCTTCACAGGCACCACTATGAAACATGGGTGGGACTGAATGAGCAGATACAGTTGTCTAATCTACAACAGCCATGATTCTGTTTTATTTTTAGCTATCAATTATTAACTCGAGAGCTGTTGTCAAGCCTGGTAGCACATGATGTGATTTTAAAAAAGATACTGCACTTTCCAGTACTGCATTATTATTTTCCCACCATGGATAAACTTGCATTTATCTCAGTGATGGCTCCTATCACTTGCTGTGGAATGCTTTATCTTGAATTATGCCTTGGAGAGCCTTCTCATCAAAGGATAGAATAATAGTTTATTTACTGAGTCTTACGCGGTACTTTTAACAAATAATAGGCCCGAATGCTAGTCCAGCTCTTCTTAGTGAGACTTAAAGCAGGAAGCAGTTTCTAATTTGGCGAGTTTGACAATAGAATACAACACATACTTGATCAGGAGCCAATCTAGGTCTTGCACAGATGTGGATAAGAAAGACTGAGGGAACGGGAAAGTCTTGCTTCAGTGTCAGGATGCCACCTTCAGGAAATGGGAATGGGCCTGTTGCCACTGGGTCCTGTGGAGCCAAAGAGAAGTGTTGTGAATAATCTTTCATTACATCACCTAAAGGCCAACTGTTACATCAGTGTAAAGTGACTGTATTTACTTTGAGACTTAAATTTCCAACAGTGTTGGTGCCGATCAGTGGCTTACAGCCATCAAAGTTCTTCAAGCTGAGAGACTTTTCTCTCTCATCTGTTTTCCAGCTCTTCAGGAAAGAGGGTTTGTCCATCTCACAAACTGGGTTGATCACAAATGCTCTTTAGGGGCAATCTGTCACTTTTAGTAACCTCCCATGGATGCCTTTCAGGCTAGTGGTCTTTACAAACCACACCCCTGTTTCTTAGCTATGGATTCCCAGTGTGCAGTGAAAGCTATTGCTAGCTACAACAGCCACTCAGCTGGTCTTTGAGGATGAGGTTTCACCAGATGACCAAGAGTGTCTAAAACCTTGCTGCTGCCCTGTTGAAGGAAGATCTGATGGCTCCTACCATATCACACAGGCCTTAGCAATAGCGGGTTATGGTGACTGGGAAGAGAAGACATAGTACTGTGCACCAAAGTCAGAAGGCAGTTACTGTCTATGGGCCCCAAAGGGGACAAAGGTGGCCTCCTTTATTTTAACCCGTGGGTCTGAATGCATAGGGAAACTATGGGAGAGGGAGCTAAAGTGACAGGCTGCTCACATATTCTCACATACAGTAAGTAATCCACGCATGGCTTTTCATATTAGGGAGGAGAGGAGCCCTCAGAGAGGACTTACTCCTCAGTCCCCTCTGGAGTGCATTCAGAATTGGCGAGGATGAGGGGAAACTGCAGGCCTCCCTGTGAGCCCCTGAGAGATGCCAAGTGTCTTCTGAACTTGCACTGCGTAGTTTCCACCTCAGGGAGCTGTTTGTTTTCTGATATTGAGGGGGGTTCATTTCAACTCTCTAATGCAGCAATTTGGCCCTTCTGTAATATACACAGGGCCATGTGACTTATTTGGGGAAATAGAACAGAAAGGGTCTCAAAGCTCACTGATGTTTCAGAGAGAAGGTGGAACTTGCTCTGGAGCAACTCTGCCTCCTTAGTTAAGGGTAGGCTAGTAGCAAAGAAGTTGGTCATCTACATTTAGTCTCTTGTATAACATAAATGCAAAGGTATCAGTTGTGTATCATCAGCTACATTTCTCTGCGTGACTGCAAGTGCATTATCATATGTCTGTGAGATGCGCATGACTGTGGGCTAAGGAAATTTTGACTACCTGAGCTGGTTTCTTGTCTCTTTAGCTGTAGTTAACCAATTCACAAGCACTTTACCCATACAACACTTCAAGCAAACACACGGTCATACCTCAGCATCCCTTATTTGCTGGAACTGTTCTGGGGAAGGAAAGTCAGGGCTTCCTAGCTTTTTCCACTTCAGGTAGGGATTGGTTTGGTTGTTATCCAGGTAATATGTCACATACACCAGCTCTTTAGGAACACAAACGAAAGAGAGTAAACTCTTTACTTGGATTTAAAGATTAACAAGAATAAATTTAGCAGAAGGTGTTTAAGTCTGCCTTCTCAAAAGTGATTTCAGCACTTTGGAGCCTGGCTTCCACTGGAAAGTCACGAGGCTAGCGCTCTTACAAGGCTCTACAATTTATATTTGCCAAGTTTAAATTTCAAGCTATTACTTCCATAACCAGAATTGAAGCCCTCTTATTTTTTGCACAGGTGCTGCACACATTTGTTGCACAACTGCATCAACTGTGCAATCATGTGGTCATGTTGGCTGTCTTGGAGTCATCCCAGTAAGGGAGTTGTTGCCTGGCAATATCCAGCCAAGGACACTGAGATTAATAGCTTTCCAAAAAGGTAGCATTTGCAGCTGCCATTAAAGGCAGGGTCAAGGTGCAGGCATTAGGAAAGAACATTTCCTAGAAGAGCACCATCATATCTCAGAAAATCTGGGAGTGCCCAAAAGATGAGAGAGAAAGTTAGCAAATGAAACTCACTCTTGCAACGAAAGGCAACTCAGCAGAAGTGTTTCAGCAGATGTTCTATCCTAAAGATCAATTATGTGAGCTGCCTACATTATGTTTGTTTACCTCTAAGTTTGGGGAAGCGGGTGGTGTTCACCGTGACGGTGCTGATGTTGGATGAAGTCCTGTTATCCTCACTTGAATACATCAGTAGAGTAGCTTGCCAGCTGTCTGAGAGTTGCATCTCACTTGGGGTGTGCACAGATGCCAGGACACCAATTGTGCTGTTTTGAGTGCTTTTGCCTTCACTGCTGCTCACTTCTGCAAAAATCTGCTTTTCTCCTTTAAAAAATGTGACAACTCTGTAAGCATCACTGCTAGTCAGTCCTGTATCAGTTTCTGATACAGGAAGGGTCAAAACATGGGAATCTATAGGTTGAGCTATGTTCTAGCTTATTTTACCAGGTAGAGCATTCAGTCAGGCTTATTTTACAACAGCAGAGCATGCACGTACTACAGCAATTCTTATGCTTAGCAGTTCAGCTAGCAACATCTAAGCATGTAACAGTGAATTTGGATCTTCCTTTAGTATGCTGCATGGGTCTTCCAGCTGTGGGGATTTCTTAAAGACATTTGCAGCCTGATGTGATGACACAAAAGGGAAGTAGCAGTCAACAAAAAAGCAGTGGTCGGCATACAGAGGGTATAAGCAAAGCAGGAAATTACATCAAATGGATAACAGACTGTCAGGAACATCTGAGCTATTAATTTATCAGAGGAAATGGAGTTTCATTTTCTTAACACAGCTGGTAAACAGAGGGTAGGAGAAATCTTGTTTTTATCAATGGTGAGATGGCTGGAATAATCTCCCTTGGGCAGGAAGCTTCCAGGTAGAAGAGGTTATTCATGCACTCTTTAATCAGTGGTTACTATACCTAGCAGTGCCAGCAAGCCCATGACAGTCAGTACTGGTTTCCGCACCATCTGGACATGAGGTGGCTTTGTATTGTTCATCTGAAAACGTGCTGTCAGAGTCCGCTGTGTGAAGTAATGGGGGTAGTAGCTCAAGAAGGCATTGTCATTACTCAGCAGTGTGTAGTTGATGGTGTTGTTGGCTTTCGAAATGAGCAGGTTTTGATGCTGGATGATTACCTGCAAAGTCATAAAGAAGATGGAACTTCACCCTGGAGAAAATTCAATAAAAACATGATGTCTGTATTTTTTTTTAATTTTTAGAGCATATTGAAAAGAGCTACCACTGCCATTTAGAAAAGTTTGAAGAACTGAACTGTGCCTCACAACTCTTGGACGAACTGTTCTTTAGGTGATACATTAATCACTGGAAAATTTGAAGTATCCACATAGTTTTGCCAGTAAAAAGTCTCTGAAATAACTATTACTAGTACTCTGCATAAATTATGAATATATTTCCTTGGCTACTGCACTACAAATGATGCTCCTCTGTCTTGAATATTAGATTAGTAATCTGGATTTACCATCTGAATTAAATCTAAATAGTTCTCCAATTCTGGAGTTACTTTGTACCCTTTACACGAGTGTCTCGGAGCTGGTCCTGGATTCTGTTCCTCAGTGAGTCATTTTACCCACTTGGTGCTATCATGGAATTAGTTCTCCTGGTATTTCAGTGGTTGCTGTGCTGCTTTCCTGCAAAATGTTAGAGCTACCACGCTCTCTGTTTAACGCGTTGTGCCTAAGTATCAGAATCAAACAGAACTTCAGAAGGCTGACAACTGAAAAGGTCTCATAATTTTGTCCCTGAAGGAACACAGGGCTCCAGCTCCTATCTACCCAAGTGTTAATTTTCCACTGGATGTGTCTTTTTTTCTCCCTTCACATCACCATGTCATTACAAACATTGTTGTTTGCTCTCACAAACTCCCTGCAATGCAGTCAGTGACTTGTTGCTTTGGAGAAGACTGCTTCTGTATGCAGCCTAAAAGAGCTGGGAGCCTTTGTCTCCACAGGAGCAGCTGATAAGACGTATCTTGTTTCCAGGCGACATACATGCTCCCAGGTTTGGGAATTACGACTTTGCACAGGAGCGCTTGGACTCTGGATGCTGTATAAGGTAGTGGCTCACAAAGCAACAGGCCTGCAGTGGGAACTATTGTTATGCAGAGGCAAGAGCTGAGCTTGCTCTGGGGCCAGGCTACAATTCCTGCAGGGGCAGGAATGCTAAGCATTCTCTTCTCCTTCCCCTTTTCTGATCAGCAGCAGTAATTACTAGCAGTAATTAATAAGACCACGTGTACAGTCATTATCCAAAACAAAAGAATGGGCTTATGCTGAGAGCTCAAGGGACTTCTTAATTATACTTGATGTCTCTTGATGAGATAAACTTATGAAGGAGCTAGGAAATAATGTCTCACATAAGTGAGGTGATAGCTAGCAGTAGTGAGATGATAGCAGTATTATTACATGGAGAGAGGATGTGTATAGCCTTATCAGGTGGATCTAACTGGGGGACTGTATACAATATCTGACACATTCTTCAACACATGGAAGGCCAGTTCTCAGTTGTTCTTTTTTAAAGGGAAGATGAAGAAAACTAATACAAACTAAATAAAGCTGCTAAAACCAGACTATTCAGGGAAACCCCAGCTGTATCAACAGGGAGCTCTCCTTTTGTTGGATCTATTATTCTGAGTAGCTGCTTAAAAATTGACTGTAAGTCTACTTTTGCAACTGCATTAACGCATCAGGAGACCCTACTGTGACAAGACTGTCAATTAACTGAGTTACCTTTACAACCATAGCTGCGTAGGTCACATCAGCTCGCCACAGTTGTGGAATGGACCATCCAACCATTGGATCTGCTTCATCGTTGTATATGGCAACAGAAGCAAAATTTGGAAACAACTTCTGAATTTGTTCAACTGCTTCTACTTCTTGTTGCAAGATGTAGAGAGAACTCCCACCTCCCTGCAACAATATTTCATATCTGCTTAGTGAAAGTTAGCAAACAGTAGTAAACACACAGACGTAACATACAGACATAAACATATTCTGAAAACATGTTCCTGGAGTCCCTGAGGAGCTGTGGGCCAGACAGTATTAGTATTTTTACCTAATCCATTACAGCATGTGCTGTTTGCATGAGCTCCTCCTATAATATAAAATGGAGAAGAGGTAGAGGAGGTGTTTCCCCCTGGGAATTGGGCAAAGGCAAGTCTGCTTTGAGCTGAAGTCTTGCAACTGAACATCTTCAAAGTTTCGTTAGAATAGGTAGCCATGCTTCCTGCTATAGGCTGGACTCTCATTTGGGAATCAACTTCATAATTCAGAATAAAATGTAACTTGGATTGAACTGATTAAAAAAATAGCCTTAAACTGAAATCTTGGACTAACCTTCTTATGGAGAGAGATGTAGTCCAGCCTTACACCAGTCTCCCCTGTGAAGAAGTTGGTTCCATTGTAGCAATGACACAGAAGACTCCAGCATATGGGTGACTTGGGTAAGGGGTGGAAGGAATCCCCAGGCCCTCCAAATTTTAGTAGAGGACTGGCTGCTCTTAATCCTTCTGAGCAAGCATCATAATAGTTGAGAAACCCTGAAGTCCAAGCAGATGCATATGTCAAAGATGATAACTCAAAATAGAATCTCGATCTAAAACTACAGGGAGATGTTGTAACTCTATTATTGCATTTATTGGCAGGACCTCACAAACTGGGGCTACTCTATGCACTGACAAGAGAAGACATCAAAACCTCAGCTGCATTCACAAGGTTCTTCCAAAGGTCTTGTGAGGACAGGTTTCCAAAGCATGCATCTGTCAATGAACAGTTTTCCTCTTACTCCACCCTTCACCCCCTTACCCCAGTAACCTTACTTTATATCCAAATAATGAGCTGTGTCTTCCTAGTGTAACTCCTGTTCTGTTTTCCCTGTTCTACTATCCCTGTACTTATACTGATGTCCAAACAGGGAACAAAGTGTAGTCAGTAACAGTTACCAAAACAGACTAGGTATACCTTTCGCATTCCTTATCTCTCCTATCCACGTTATTTCTTTGCCAGCATCTCTCCTTTCTCGCTGTCACCCCTCCACCCACCCCACACACCTGTCTCACTCTACTACACTAGTAAGTGCTCCAAAACATGCTTACCTTTCACTGTCATAGACACATTGTCAAAGTCATGGTGGTCTGGTTCATTCCACGTTTCAAAATTCCATTTAGCAACATGCTCCAATCCGTACCTATCTGTAGGAGAGGCCTCATTTACCAGTGAGCTGCATATTCAGACAATCCTATCAATTAGTCACTGATCCAGACAATCCTATCAATTAGGGCTGCAGGTGAGATTCAGCACGCAGAGCTACAACAGGGTATAAATATTACTTACTTTTAATAATGAGGGAAATGTGATTTTGGTAGTTTCAAAATGACCTCTCACTTTTGATGAAATGCAGCAATATTTGAAAAAGATGAAAGGTCAGAGGGAGGAGATGTGAATTACAGCTTGTGGTTAGGGCGTTCACCTAGCCTTAATTCAGGCTGAGGCTTCTGTCTCATTAGAGATATTTGAAGCTGGCATGTGGGAAGCATTCAGGTTATCATGTCCTAGTGTAAGCTGGTGGTTTACAACCACAACAACATAACTAAGTTAAAAGGCAGTCCTCAGAGGCAGGCCAAATGCGCTACCCAGAATACACTACTCATTCAGGATGTTGGTCATGGATCAGCAAAAAATGGGCTATTATCCCATTGTCTGTTCTGGCATGGTTTTTTTCCTGTTGTGTGCTGAAATCCAGGGTCTCGAAATAGATCACAATACACAGAACTTTTTGAGGTAGTTAGGAGGGATTACAACAGAATAAATGAGGGCTTTTTTCTTCCTTTTTTTTTTTGGAACTTACCTATGTATCTGCTGGCTAGAAGTGTAATTAAGTTTCTCCATCTTACTACCTGTTCTTTATCTTCAAAATCTAAAAAATAACCTGATGGATTCCCCATGAATTCAAATCCTAAAAAAGACACAAAAGATTGGTCTCCTTTTTTTATGAATGCTATCTCCTTTTGATTAACGAAGGGGTTATTGCATTATCTGAAACAAACTTGTTAATGAAGAAGCATCATTAAATGGGCTTTGTTTCCTGTTTCTACATGTCCCCACCAGGAACATTTCTGATTTGAGGTTGCTCACACTTGTTATTTGTCAATGACTATAGTAATCAATACTAATACTTACCATCATAAATTCAGGGCTCAGAGGGAACTTTAAACAGTGGTTGTTTGCAGAAATTCAAGGGAAGCTATACCTTGAGTATCTGCTGCTCTGGCCCTTTTAGGTACATGTTAATGGGTACAAAGCTTTCTCCTCTTCAGGAGATCTCATTTCCCATTTCATACATCTCAAACTGTTGTTGAAAAGCAATGTAAAACCATTTATGTTGTCTTAATTGCCCTAACAGTGTTTTGCTCACACTGTTTACATTTACATGGACATGAAGGAAAGGCAAGTAGGAAAAAAATGAATTTTTATCAGAATCAGTTTTCGCAAAGCTCTCAAAGAATTTTCTGATGATTGTACAACATGGGCAAACAGGTGTAGAAAGTTGTGGAGGTAAGGAGCTGCCCTTACCTGGAATTAGCTTATTTTCCCACAGGCGATCCATAAGGTTATCCAAGGCAGTAAAATTGTAGTGAAGTTCCCCATTCATCACCCTGAAGAATACAGGTCATAAAAAGTACAAATGTAAATATTACAGCAAAGGTGGCAGTTGGTTGCAGACAATGGGTCAGGTGCCTGCCTTCTTTTGGCTCTCAAAATTTACATGTAACTAGGGTTCTTGGAATTGTACACAAACTTCCTTCCTCTAAAGTAACGGGTGTTCACCATAAGCAAGTCATGTTTCTTGTCCAATCCATGCCCTTTTCCTATTCCAGCAGCAGCAATAGAAGCAATATAATGAACTTGCTTGCTGGATTTTGAGGTTTTAAAAGGATATTAAGATTTCTAACTCTTTGCTGAAGTGAATTTACCTAGACTTTTTTTGGCTAAGCTGTTTTTTCAGTTTCCATTTGATTACCTACTGCTAGGCCAGCTGGTTTCCACCTTGTCTCATATGCAGTCTTTCTTAATGTTCTCTTAATTTGCAATATATAATATAGCTTTCTTAGTAGCACTTCTTATGGATTTAGATCCAGCTGAGAAATAACTTTGTATCTTTCAAAGAATACTGAATTTATGCACACAATGTCTGTAATTTTTACTTCATTGTTAGCATTTGCTTACTATTTCTCCTGCACTCCCAGGATCTCAGGCTGCAATCCTTTTACCCAGCTTCGAATACATGTGTTCAAAGACTTAGGAGTAGCCCATGATGCATCCCTCTGTGTCAGTGAATCTTGCAGGAGCACAGGTAGTAAAATTTGGGCGTGCACCTGCATGGCAACACTGGAGTTCTTTTACCCAGGGGATGAAAACTGGCATTTGCAATTTATCTATAATACATTTGAAGATATGCTTTAAATTCCTGAAACGCATTTGTTCCCTGGTATCCAGTGAAAACAAATATAATGTAATATCTGGGTTGGTGTATGATTTCACGTAACTTCTGAATTTGTGGCCTGATTTAACTGAAATCTGACAGGGCGGGAGAAGTTTTGCCAGTATGAAGTGCCAAATAGGAATTAAAAATGAACTTCTGTCAACAATATTCTGGCAGTGTGACTAACTGCCATTTGGCCCAAGCCACAGCCTTGGCCTGGTGCCCAAATTCCAACCTCAGTATGCCCTGAGCAAAAGGCTTTGTAAGCACCCTTGAGATAAGTCTATCCCTGGTCATATAGGAGGGCTGATCAGGGTCTTGCTAGCGCTCTCAAAGCTCATTTCTCCAGCCTTGCCAGAGCACCACACCTAATTTCTCTGGTACAGTGCAGCCTGAGCTCTGCCTCTGCTGTCTTTCCTACTCTTTCATAGGCACCTTGCCTCTGCTTGGGTGGAAAGCTGTATGAGGGAACTACAGATGCAATGTCCTGGGTATGATGGAAGGGGGAGAGACAATCACTTACAGCTCCTGTAACTGATCAGTGCTAGCAAGGCATGCTGGGCACAGAGGATGAAAAGTGAGAATGGGGCAATCAGCAGATCTCTTAAATCAATGCTGGGCTCTGTGCTGAGATTCACAACTTGTTTCTTTCTGTGCCTTCCCATGTGTTTCCGAGCCTCTTAGATTGAGGCTCTTCCTCTGTGCTTTCTTGCCAAGGGAAGGTTTCAGTGAAGAACCTGTAATAGCAATCCTGAAGTTCTCAGAGAAGAAAGGCTGACAGAATTGCCTAGTGAATAAAGAAGGAAACTGTACAACCTGAAGAGGACAAAGTGCCATCAGCACCTCTGACTATGATCTAGAAGAGGAAAACAGGACAGGCAAAACAAATGTAACGTAAGCCATATCCACTGTACCAGCTCCACCTGTGATATAACCAAGCACACAATCTTAGCCCCGGCATGGTCACACTCTTTTACCAAAGACCTGAAGCTGGCTTTTCTCTTTTAAAGTGTGTCCCCCCACCACAACAGAAGTTGTCATGTCTGCAGCCACTGATGGGCTTGCAGTTCCTGCCAGAGTCAAATGGTGCAGCTGTGAAAGAAGCAAATAGCAGAAAGATATTTATTTACTTTAGTATACATAAGAGCATTTTCAAAGTTACTGTTGAACTAAAGAATGGCCATTTGGAACTAGGGGTTTTTTTTTGCTTAGACAGAGGTTAAAAAAAAGTCTGACAGTCATATTCCAAAGTTCAAAGACAAATATTTTGTTGCAAAAGGTAGCTCTGCTCCCTCAGATCCATTAACTATTTCCAGTTGTACCCTGTGTTCCATTGAAATATTTGCTTACATGCACACTTACAGTCAGTGAGCATAAGAATGATTAACTCTACTGTCTTGTAAAAACATAATAATGCCATTTAGATAATAGCAAAGGAACTAGTGTCTTCCCAACTCTAGTCTAAGGTCTACACAGCACTATGTGAAAACATATGGGTAAATAAAGCCTTCTATCTGATGCATGTACACTTAAGATCCCAGCACATCTACATTTTTCCGCCTGTATCAATTAAGTAAAACACAATGCCATTGCTAGCCTTGACTGAAGTGACAGTACATGAGATCCTGTGTTACGTGTGTAGTAGGTGTAGAGGCACTTCTTACATCCTTTGGCTGATCTGTGACTTTATGAGAATCTTTTCTGCAAATGGATTAGGCAGTATGCTCCTATTAATAAAACAATTACTTGACCGATAGGATTGCCGCTTTCTCAGATCTTGATCTTATCCTTACCCATACTACTTTTCTGATGTGAAATGGATGCTTTTTTTTATAATGTATACAGGATCACTAGAGTTTGGGTTGCATGGTTGCATGCCATGCAGTGTCTGGAAGCCATGCTGACTGCCACGCGTGAGGCACAGCAGGAATCTCACAAGCTGGTATTATTTACAAACATTCTGCATGGTGAAGATTGGCTCAACTGTCAGGCTGTTACCACGAGTGCTATAAATATAATTCTAGGACACTGAAGACCAGATCAAAACTGTTACAGGCATGTGACAAGGTAAATCCCTGACCCAGGATAAATTCACTTGACATTGTCAAAGTTGTTCAAAACAGCTTTGCACATCTGACCTAGGACCTGCTGGTGCAGCATCGCATACCTGTGATTGGGACCTTGGTAGCAAGCTCACAGACTTTTACAGTTTTCTACCTTTTTTTGCCTGCTCCTCTTCTGATCTCTCTGCCCTTAAGTCATGGTTTCTAGACACCACTGGCTTCATTTATGAACACGCAGAAGGCTATGTCCTTGTCATTTCATTTGAGTGCTTGCCAGACTGAGATTATTCATCATTTGCTGTTGGGTATTTCTGATGTGGAGCGGCAATCACTGTCCTGTCTGTGCCTGGCTTTCAAATGTTTCTCAACTGGGCTTTTTCTGGGAGACTTGCCAGATAAGGCCTTCCTCATCTTCAGTCATAACAAACAAGTACACTAAAGTGTGTTTACTGGCATCCTGGCACCAATGCCCTTATAAGCCCCAGGCCTGAGGCTGCTATACTCCAGAGACTGCTGCCTGCTGGTGAGGTGTCTTTCCAGCCTCTGTCATGGTCTCAGTTCCAGACCTGTTTGTATGTGCTGCCTCTTGAGAACAACCATGCTGTGAACATGAAGAGCAAAAAAGTCACAAAACATTGTTGCTCTGTTCCTTGGAAAGACTTGCTTTGTGGGCCATCCTTTGCTGAGTCAAAGGTTACAGGCCCATGTTAACAGCTTTCCACTGACTCCCTTTACTGGAGGGAAAATCTTTTCAGGTGCATAGGCAGCTACTGGATAGCTTGCCAAAGTACTGTAAGATAATCATGTTGTGCTTCTCATCCATGCCACTTTCAGTCTCCTCCTATTCATGAACTTAATCTCTTGGGAGTGCAGGGGTAAGCTAGCTTTGGCTGTCAGCACCCTGCATCGCAGCCAGATCTGCTCCAGTTAGCACAGCTGTGGATACTGCTCCTTAGCCTACAGCTACAGCTTCCCTCCTGTGCCCAGCATCTGCTGCTTCTCTTCTGCCCTGGGTTGATCCTGTCCAAGAATATAGTTGCACGCCCTGGAAAGCAAGTGCACACACAGACATTGGACCAAGTATCTTATCTACAGAGAAGAGAGGAAGAAAAACACAGGCAGGGAGTGTTTCCATTCCAGGTAATCTTCAGTCAAGTATTGAATATTTGATAACACGTCAAGCTAACTTTATCAAACTTTACTGTAATGTACTAAACAAAATTTCCTGGGATAGGAAGCCTTGTGGCTGACCCCTGTCAGTAGGTCACAGCCCATTTAGGAACTCAAAGGTAACATGTAGGGTAACCACCACCAAGAGCTATTCTGCTGAAGAGAGCTTTGTCTGGCCTAGGAGTGGTATGATTGGGAAATATCTATATACTGGAGTAGTGCCTTTTTCATCCTGACATTCTCACTCAGCTGGTGTGTCTTCCCTTTGCATTTCTAGTGGATACAGTTACCACGCACATCAGAAGCTAACATAATCTGGCTTGCTTTCACCAATGTCTGAGAACAGCCTCTATTCTGGTAGATTTGCCATAGCAGCTGGCTAACACCACTCCCACAGCAGCAGAGCCTGCTTACATCCTCACTGAGAGCTTCTGCTGGGAAAGGTGGCTCGCCTAGTGCCAAATGCAGCCAAGAAATAGGGACAGAAAACTGGCACAAGGTGTTGGCAGAAGAGAGCTGCAAATGACGCCTTAACAGTAAACAAAATTTTTCAGCAGGATATTGGCCAACCTCAGACTTCCCTCCATGAGGGAGCCATCTAAAAAAGACCCTGCTCCATGGGAGATTTTCTGTGTTACAGTCTTAGAGAGAAGTGAAAGTGCAGTCTAAGATACTACCCTGCTATGGTGTCTGCTGAGATAATGATCATATTACATACCACTATTCATTTGATAGAGATGCTTAGCTGTGTGTCAGACCATCTTTGTTCGGCCTTGTAAGCCAGCTCCTGCAACATACACTCCCTTGGCCAAGGTTCCAGGATGTGGACCAATGGTAACACAGTCACTGTTGTTCTGATGAGTGTAAATATGCATGATAATTAAATTCCTCCTCTCAAGAGTAAATCAAGAGTAAACAGTGGTTGCAGTAGGTGACTACT